ATAAAAATGGTGACGGAACTGAAAAGAATTTAGAAAAAGCCTTTTATTGGTATCAAAAAGCAGCTGAAAATGGAAATGATATTGCACAAAATAATCTTGGTTATTTATATAAAAATGGTGAAGAAACTGAAAAAAATTTAGAAAAAGCCTTTTATTGGTATCAAAAAGCAGCTGAAAATGAAAATAGTAATGCACAAAATGAGCTTGGTTATTTATATAAAAATGGTGAAGGAACTGAAAAGAATTTAGAAAAAGCCCTTTATTGGTATCAAAAAGCAGCTGAAAATGAAAATAAGGTTGGACTGTATAATTTGGGCGAATTTTATGAATTTGGTAACAGAGATGCTGAAGACATTTGATAATTATCAAAATTCTGCTAATCAAAAATATTTATATGCAAAATTTTATCTTGGATATTGCTACATAAATGGAATCAGAACAGAAATTAACAAAGAAAAAGGATTTGAATTATATAATGAGACAGCTGGAATAAAAGATTTTGATGTACAAGAAATCTTATATAATAAATTAACGAATGATTTTGATAAAGTTAAGTATTGGTATCATAAAGCTGCAAATAATGATAATAAAGTTACATTATACAATTTGGGTGAAATTTATGAAACAGGAAAAGGTATTTATATAAATTTGATTAGAGCATTTGAATTTTTAAGAAATCGGCTAATAAAGGATATTCAGAGGCTCAATATAAAGTTGGATGTTATTATGAGCATGGAATTATAATTGATATTGATAAAAAAAAGCATATAATTTTTATAAAACAGCTTCTGAAGGAGGAAATGTCAATGCAAAAAAGCATCTTGCAAATTTGTAAGAACAAGATGAAGGAACAGAAATAAATATTAATGATGCTATACAAATATAGTTAAAGTTTAGATCATTTTTATAAATATCAATATTAAATTATTGTAAAATATATATATGATTGTATTAACTTAAATTCTAATTATACTCAATTATTATTACTTAATGTAATTAGAAACATATTCATAAAAGTTATAAAAAATAATAAAAATATTATTAATTATTACAACTTATAACAAATTAATAAATTATAATTAAAAATTGATAATATTCGTTTTTTAAAGCAAACAACTACAAATGAATACAGGAAGTCTAGTTTTTAAGCTTGTTTTATTTTAGTACTTTCAATTAAATAACCCTTAGGTCTAATATTAAAGAATGCCTTTTCAATGAGTTCTCTGACAGTCAATTGATCATATCTATATCTTTTTGAAAAGGTTGAGTATTAGGAGGATTGATTTTACCTCTTACTTGATCTCTAAAGATATCAGTAAGATCTAATTCAAGGTCACTTTTGGCATCTTCTAAAATCAATTCATAATCATCAACGTTTTTACTTTTGAAGCCTTCATTAAATTGTCCAATAATTCGAAATTTATCGCCTATATCCGTAAAAAGAACGTAACTTGCGACCTTATTTTTTCCACCTTTTTTAAAATCAGCGACAGCGTTATCACGTTTACTGGTGCACTTTAAGTTAATCCTACAAAGATCATGCAAACGAAGGTGATCATAGCCAAAGATGATAATTTTCTTGAAATCATTTTGATTGCGAAAAATATTAATTGATTTTTTCTTTGTTCAATTATTTATTTTTTTTCTTTTCGTTAGAAGAAAAAATGAGTGAAGTTAGGTATTTGCTTTTTTTATATGTTTCAAGTTTATAAATCAAGTCAAATATTTAATAATTTCATTAAAAATATTTTAATAAAACTAAAACATGCATTTAAAATTCATTTAAATATGAAAATAATTATGATTTATTGTATGTTGTTTTGATTGGAATGGGGTTTTATTAATAAAAAATTATCATTTTCTACATGCATTTCTTTTTTATCCAGACGCCGCCGTGTTTATGACATGTAATCCTTAAACTCCTTAAACTGAAAAATTAATTAAGAAATAAATAACCAATAATCACCAGATAAATACGGAAAATTATGGTTAAAACTTTTTTTTTAGTGCGTTTATTTTACAAAAAAAGAAAGCAAAAAAAAAAAAATATATATACCGAGTTCATAAATAAAAATGGAAACAATATGTTAATTAATTATTTATTTTTGTAATATGAAATCATTTTTTATTAATAAAATCTACAGAAAAAATCTGTTCTAGCAAAGTTCAAAAATTTAACTGTAGGATCAAAAGTTTAATGAAATACATTGACATCATCATTGATACGTATTTGTTTGTAGAATCTTTTTTAAATATTTATTTTTAGATTTGAACATATTTTTAAATTTATGGTTTGTAAAGCAAATTTATAAATTATTCATGTCTTCAAAATTTATTTGCTTTGTTTACTAATAATACACGCTTCAATTCTGTCTCTCTCTAAATTAGTTTCAAATATTTCAAATATACATCATTTTGAAATATGACCCCATTCTTCTTGTTTAATACTTTGACGTTCTGATTAAAATCAGGTGATTAATGGCCTACCTTTTAAAATAATATCAAGTTAAAATTATAAAACAACCTAAAAGCATTACATAACTACGTCGACACGTATCTAAGGTATAGAGAAAATTGAACAATCATAGGCCCAATTTTTTGAAACAAAAGAACAAGCATACTGCGCCATATTCCTAAAGTTTTTTAATATAATCGGATTAGGAATTCTTGCTAAAAATACATCAATATTAATAAAAATGCTAATGAGAAGGCAAATTGCAATTAAAAAAAATTAAATTCTTATATATAATCCGTAACGTGATTTAATAGCAAACACATTTATTATTACATTACTATACATTTTACAAGTGGTAGGTATAGTCAATATCATTACATTTGATCAACACTAATGATGGCTGAAATCATGATTTCATTCTTATATAACGTTGCTTTTGGTTTATTAGAAAGACAAATAAATATTAAAGTATTGAAATTTTGCATATTTTCCTCCATATAATTCAATCAGAAACTTCATACCAAAGTTCACCTTCCAAATATTTAAAAATATTATTAAAACAATTAGCAAAGTCATGAGTCATTTTTTTATTTTTTTTTTTAAAAAAATAAATTAGAAAAATGAAAAGAAATTTTTTTTTGAAAAAAAGCAGTTACACAACATCAGATAATCATTATCGAAGAATAACATTTTTTATTGATGAAATGACAACAAACGAACTATCTATGTTTGATAGTAATTTTATATTCCTCACAATGAAATACCACATCAAAGATTATATTCAATTCTTGATTTTTGTCCAAAAACTCAACATCATATTTTTATATAAACACATTAAAAATGTTTTCATGACAATCATAGCATCATGTCTACCTGTGCACATACGTAAACCAGAACAAAATGGTAAAAATGTATGATCCTATCATAAAACGGTCAGGATTAAATTCTTCAGGATTCGTAAAGTATTCAGGATTCATATAAACTTGTGACAAGAAAACACGAAATTTCGTGCCTACACCAAATTATAACCACCTACATCGTCTTCTGACACATTACTACGGAAAATTACAGAGGTTGCTGGTGTCATTCTACTTACTTCTTTAATTATGGCTTCAGCGTATTCGAATTTTTCAATATCTTCGAAAATGACATCACGCAAGGTGTTTGATGAGAAAATCACTTCGATTTCATCAAATAGTCGTTTTTTCACATAGGGATACTTACACAAGTAATACATGATGAAACTCAATGAACTTTCTGCCTACAAATCAAAAGTCTATGATAATCTACATAATAATATTTTCTTTTTTTAAAAAAAAAAAGTAAAACTTGTATATTGCAAACGTACCGTATCGGTTCCACCAATAAACACTTCAATTAAGTTCGATCTAATCACATCATCGGTTACATCATCATAATTTACCTTGGAACTATTCTGCGCAACGTCATCTTGTTTTTCGTTATCGAATACTTCAGAAAAACATTATATCCCGCCTATCCTCTTGAACATTTTTTCCATTCTTGATATCCAAAAGTATTTCTTCGCGACAAAGTTTAATATAATTCTCTATACTATTGTTTAACGATTTCATTTCATTCAAATAATAATTATTGTAGTAAAGAAGTAATGAGTTACGTAACAAAGACAATTGTCCAAAGAATACCAGGCTTTGAAAAATGAATGATCTTGTCTAAGAAGCGCATCGCTTGATTTATATACACTTGAATATTCGTTCTTTTAGATTGAATCATCACTTTTTGGCAAAGAGTTGTAAAGGGATTGTAACGCATAAGAAGGTTTTCACAATGTTGAGATAATAAATGAACCTTTGTATCCAACCGACACAATTTTTGTGTTAAATTCACTTGATTTTTCAAATAACTCGCATTCATGAGCAAGAGTACAGATAACATTCTATTTCTTTTCCAACTAATTAATTCACTGTTCAGCTTTTACCAAATCCTAATTCATCCATTCCTTCATTATGAGGATTTCGTAATGTAAAATTACTTTTTGTTGAAGTCGAGAATAATTTTTCAAGGAACTCTGATAAATTTCTAAATTGTCTCCGA